AAGGAGGCTAACCAATTTTATAAATAAAAACAATATTGTTTAATATTCCTTTGAAGTTAAACTTAAGGCTAAAAAAGTAAAGCGGATCAGGTAAGTCATCTGAAGAGATAATGTAGTTAAGACATAAGGCCCAAGTTTCCTTGCACCAGTATTGTTTTTATACTAATACAATATCCTCTTTGGAAGTCAAAACAATATGAAATAAAGAAAAGAACACTAATATTTTTCTGGCCTATTACGTGCTATAAAGAGCCCTAGTGGAAACAGTGGGTTAAGCTTTGAGCTGCTCTCCAAAAGGTCAGTGATTCAAACCCACCAGCTACTTACTCCATGGAGGAAAGATGAGGCAGTCATCTGCTTCTGTAAAGATTTACAACTTTGGAAATCCTATTAGGCAGTTCTACTCTGTCCTGTAGGGTCGCTAGGAGTCAGAGTCAACTTGATAGTAGTGAGGTTTTTTTGTGGTTTTTTTTTTGTTGTTTTATTAGGTGCTATAAGATCATCTTTCTTATAACATCATCTAATGTAATCCTTTAGGTGCTCTGGTAGCGTAGTGGTTACGAGTCAGGCTGCTAACCTCATGGTCAGCAGTTTGAAACTACCATCCATTTTGCAGGAGAACAAAGAGGCTTTTTGCTCCCATAAAGATTTACAGCTTCGGAAACCCTATACAGGGCCGCTATGAGTTGAAACCGACTCCATGGTACACCACCACCACCAATGTAATCCATTAAAATAGCACTATCTGGATAGTGTTTTACAGACAAGAAAGCAAGAAACATTTACCAGGTGTATGACTTAGCCTATCAATGACTCTCATGTTGTTGTTAAGTACTGTGGAGTCGGTTCCAACTCATAGTGACCCTGCACAGGGTTTTTGAAGCTGTAAATCTTTACAGGAGCAGAGAAAGCCTCATCTCCCATGGAACAGCTGGTAGTTTCAAACTGATGACCTTGAGGTTAACAGCCTGATTAGTAACCACTACGCTGATGACTCATCAAAATATTACTGAATTTCTATCAAGGTAAGAAGAGTTGCAAATTCCTGCTACCGCACTAAAACTAAGCATGCTGAAAAGCCATTTTACCTTGGGATACAGCACTTGGATTCAGGGTAACTCCATAAAGTCAAAATTATGATGTTTTTGCTCGGAGACTACTGAAAAATGTCAGAAACAAACTAGGTAATAGATTATCTTTGGAATAAGTAACATAGAAAAAAATTATATGGAGTCTCTGAAAAACAAAAACAAGTAATATTCCATATAAAAATGATATACCAGAAAAAAATATGTTCAGTTAATCTAAAACCATGTTTGAAATGATTTTTTAAAGAAACTGGGACAAATGAACAGAAAAAGACTTTAGTTCAGAATATGTTTATGCTAAATATCAATGTCTAATTTCTGTAATAATTCTTGAACATTTCCAAGAAACTTTTGTTTGATAACAGATGTTGTTGTTAAGTGCCGTGGAGTCGGTTCCAACTCATAGTGACCCTGCACAGGGTTTCCAAGGCTGTAAATCTTTACGGGAGCAGAAAGCCTCATCTTTCTCCCATGGAACAGCTGGTAGTTTCAAACTGCTGACCTTGCAGTTCACAGCCCGATTCGTGACCACTACAATACCAAAGCTCCTTTGATAACAGATAGAATGAGTAAAATAAAACAATGCAATAGTAGATAATTTAAGTCTAGATGTCCTTAAAATCCTCATTAATTGTGTTGGAGGAGGTCCCATGATAACTGCTTCATGTATGAAGATAGACAGGATATGAAACAAACCAATTTAATAGCATGTCTCAGGTTAGAAAAGGTAAATTTACCCAGGAAAAAGGTGGTTATGATCAGTTACTTAATCATCTACCATTAGGAGAAATTTACTCTTACTAAAATCAGGCAAATTATTCAGTCACCAAGATTAGTGCCTTACTTTAGACATGTACTGAAATTTCAGAGGAATGAAAATGAGGCAGCAAGGGTTCACCTACAAGTCTAGTCTATAATTGGATGTATCACAACTTTAGAATACACTTTCTAAGGAGGTTGTTATGTGACTAGTAATACCTAGTTCATTTCCTGGGAAATACTATAGCATAGTACAGACATCATAGAAACAGAATAAATCAAGTTCAAATCTTTGCTTTTCAACTTTCACTGGAAATGCATCTTATGTTGGATTCTGAAGGTTTTGAGGTAAACACGTAAGGCAAAACTGTGTTGACAAAAATTAGGCCTGCACATGTAAAATTTTTTTGTTTCACAGAATGACTGAATTCAGATATCACTCAAAGGTTTTATTATTTCGATAATTTCAGCAAGACTCCAATTTGCTAGTCCTTTGGTTCTTGGTCATCATCTTCATCTATTATGGATGATTTTTTTATCATGTTTTCTTTTTAAACTTTTGTGCCAATTACCAATTTACTGTGTCTCCATTCTAATTCATTCTTTTTTAAAAAAAAAAAGTTTTATTGTAAATTATGTGATAGTTTACATGGGAGGACATTAGTTTTACATTCATCCTATCTTATATCATTTCAATGCCATGGTTACAATCCCCTCCATGCATCATCAACCAACCAAAAGGTATCCAATTCATTCTTCACTGACTTAACTACAAAAATGGATCGGAGCCCTTTAAATATTTTTGATGCTAAACTGTGTCAGTAGAGGGCATTGAAGAGACACCACTGGAAGAAAGGGTTCACTAACAGGCTCCAGCAGTGTGTAAGAGGAAGATTTCTCTAACGCCCTGGCCCTACAAACACTGAAAGCCACCCAGTTCCAGTAGGATACACTCCTTAGCACTCAACTCCAAAGTAGCACTCCACACACCCCTCTCATCCAATGTTTGTGTAGCAAATGCCTCTGGTGAGACATTTCCCCAGAGCAGCTTCACCTCCCTCTAAAGGACAGGTTTATGGAAAGTTCCAAAGGGACAGATTTCCAGCAAGTTTGGTTAATGTGGCATCATACAGACTTTTCTACCCTTCAGTAAGCCATAGTCATGCCCTCTCCAACAAGGTGTAGATCCCAGCAATGCAGATGAGGATTATCCTTGAGCTTGTTATCTCATTCCACCAGGTAGAGGCTGGTCCTTTTATCTGTTGTTACATTCTTCAGAGCTCTTTTTACTTAAAACCAAATCCTTCATTACTGCAATCCCATCAAAGTTAATTAATCTTTATATTGAACTTTTACTGTTCAAATTATTGTGTGACCCAGTAATCTGAGTCGACCCAGATTGATACACTTATTTAGTCAACAATATTACCTTAAAGCCTTTAATTAATTCCTCAATTTCTTTTTCTAGAATGTCAACCGAGCCAGTATCATCTATTTGCCTGGCTGTCTGGCCACTTAGATTATGTATTTCACTCTTTTGTCAACTGTAAAGAAAGCTTTTCAATTCTTAAAAATCATTCACAAATCTTACATAGACAGACAAATATGTTGGACTTTTCCAGGCTTTATTGTTCACAGAACTAAAGACACTAGCAGATTCTTGGTTCCCTTTTCAGTGTCTCTCAGGCATATACTTGACAGTCATGGTACAACATATATATTGTTAACTTCTCCCTTTCTTTTGACAAGCATTATAGTTAATGATCACAATTCCAATCTACTAAGCATGTGACATATAAATTATTCAACCTATATTAGCCAATTTCCTTGGGATGATATCTATATTATTGGTGTGGTGCTGTGGGTTAATGCACTGGTCTGCAAGGTCTGCAGTTCAAGCTCACCAACCGCTCCTTGGAAACCCTATACAGGGTGGCTATGGGTTGGAACTGACTTGACGGCACTTAACAACAACAACAATACTGTGAATTAATTATAATAAATAATATATAATAACTAGAAAGCATACAATTGGCACCTACAATAATAATAAAATCATGGCCATGAGTTTAGGCTCTGAAGGAAAACAGCTTACTCTTGGATTAAAGCTGCTAATGTAAAAAAGAGCTAGATTTCTTTTGATCTACGTTGAACATGTATTAAAAGCAGGATAGTTAGATGATTCCTGATTATGTTAAAGGTTGGTGGCTCCCAAAAACCAGTCACTGGATTGGGTACATTAAATCTCTTTATAGAGCTTTATCAAAATATACATGTCTAAATGCCACTGGTAGAAGTACTAATTCAGTAGATCTGGGGTAAGGCCAAACCACCTGCATTTTTATAAGTACTCAAGTGATCTTTTGATGAGCACCCAAGCTTAAAAGCCACTGTATATACTATATGATGAGGTTCTTGAGAAGAGTTTTATA